ACCGTCAACACTGCAAACACACACTGACTCAGTCCCACACACACACACACACACACACACACTGTCCTGCTGACACAAATACTGACTAAAGCACCAAATGTGGATTCATCCGCCGCTGAAAATAGTCCCCAACAATGTCACTGTTTCCTCCTGTGTGTTTGATCAAAACTACAGTGAACAACTGTTTGAGGAAAAGATCAAACTATAGATGTGTGTTTTCAGAGATTTAGCAAGATGAAGAGGAGGTGACAAAGAGAGGAGAAAGGGGAGGAGGAGGAGGAGGAGGAAGAGACGATGGATGAAGTTTTTACTGCAGCACATTCAGACTTCATTCACCACAACAGCAAACTGTGGTGTCATCAGAGTGAGTCAGCACTCACACTTCCTGTCTGCAAACACACTGCCTTGTTGTTGTTGTTGTTGTTGTTGTTGTTGACAGTACAAAATATAAAATATGCTTCTGTTTCTGTGACTTCTGGAGGTTTGATAGCTTGTCCGTGTCTTTGTCTTGACAAATCAAAAAAGACTTCACACAGCTTCTTGTGCACACACTGAAGGCTTCACACTACTTAACACATGTGGAGTGCAACTCCAACACCTGGAGACACCTGGAGACACCTGGAGACACCTGGAAACACCTGGAGACACCTGGAGACACCTGGAGACACCATGTCTGCCTCACAATGTTCAGACTGAGTTGAACCAGAACCAGAAATCTGAAAAGTGTCTGTCTCGGTCAGGACACTCTGTAAAAAAAGATTTTTAATCTCAGGAGGTTTTTCTGGTTAAATAAATGAATAAATCCTCTGATGTCACTGCAAACCGATCCTGCATCTCAGAGTTTAACCTGACTTTAAACAGCCAAACAGACACATGTAAAGGACGCTTGGTTCAGTTTGCAATGACGGTTTTGTCAGACTGGAGGTCCACGGCCCAAAGAGATTCACTCCACTGATACAAACCAGACAGAAGCAGAAAATCTGAGACTTGTGAGAAACTTGGAAATAAAAGTTTGGCATTTTTCATCAATTAAAACAAACAAACAGCTAAAAACAGACTGAAGCTGTAGCAGATCCTCTTAAAGCTCCAATGTGTCAGATTCAGGAGGAAATATTATCACAAAGTGAATATAATATAATTGTGGTTGTGCTTTCGTTACCTCACAATGTCCAACAACACTAGAGAGTGTTAAAATGATCACAGTACCTGAAACCTGCTCAGTCTGCAGAGGGTTAATGACACACACCTGGGGACACTCGTTAGTCTGATCCAGTGTGTGTTCACTGAATGAGAGGAAGGGATTTATTTCTCAGTCTGTCAGAGTGCTTCAGTTCCCACCAACTCTCTGACGACACAAGTCCTTTTTAAACAGGAGTTGTGCAAATTAGCAGGAAAGCCCAATCAGTGTTTTTTCAGCATTGGCAGTATAAAAACAAAATCGGGGAGTGCAGCAAAATGCCGCCTACCTACTTTTGTTTATACAGAATGTGCCTTTTTCGGGGCAATGGGGGGCGTGAGCAAGTAACAAAACGTGTAGCTCAGCGTGTGACGTAAACCGTGACGTGGGAGGGAAGCCGCGGCTGGTCAGTCCTTCAGTGATTCTCTCGTAAGTCGGCCCGTTCTTCATCGTCCCCGTCATCTGACGGTTAATGGCCTCTTCGTTTGCGAGGACAAGGAGGGCGCGCAATTCCTTGTCTCCCCAGTTGCTCATCTTTACAGTGTCTGTCAGGTTTGTGTTTCCCTCTTGCTACTAGCTGCTCGCTAATTCCTGCTATCAGCTGTTTCCTGTTTATCCACCGCCAGTGGCTCGCACGTGAGGCGTCATCAACAGCACCTCCCACAAGTCATCAACAGCACCTCCCACAAGTCATCAACAGCTCCTCCCACAAGTCATCAACAGCTCCTCCCACAAGTCATCAACAGACCCTCCCACAAGTCATCAACAGCTCCTCCCACAAGTCATCAACAGCTCCTCCTGTTGCAGAAGGCCGCCTCGGTCTGTTTAAACTAAAAAGGTTCCACCAATATGTCTACCCTACGAGGAGGAAAATTGGGCACCTCGGATCAACTCGCCAAACCGGCTCTGTGTGTCTAAACGCTCGCAGCTTGGCGGCAAAACAGCCCAACATTCGCCGAAAATCTGGCAGTGTAAAAGGGGCTATAGGTGACATCATTGTAACTGCGTGTGACTGTTCACGCTGATCACGACATGGTGTTTGAGTTCAGGAATCTCTAGCCTGGTATTTCATCAATCTGTTTTCAGAGCCCTGTTTGATTTATTTTTCTTAAAGAGAAGGAAAATAAACATGTGGTTGTGGAGACGCTACATACTTTTGGTTCATAAAAGAATCTCAGTCGTGTTGTTGTATTTTTATGATATGATTATTTAAAGACATTAAAATGTTGAAGTTACTTATCTTCTTTCATTTCTTTTTATATGAAAATATAAGGTGTCCTAATTTGCCAATAAAAAAAGTGGTTTTCGGGACACATTATATTTGAGATCAAGTCATCAGTTCTGTGTTTGATTATTGTTTATTTTTCCTTCTGTATTTTGTCATCAGGAGGTTCATGTTTATAGAATCGTATGACGTCGCTATGATTCAGTAAATTGTTCCAGAACGCAAATTTTCAGGAAGTGTCCCAATTTAACAAAACTCAATACTACAGTTGTGTTTTGTTTTTTTTGTTTGTTTGTTTGTATTTTTTAAAATAAAGTTTGATTTTATTGGCTCATATTTTCTTTCTGTGGATAAAACTATACATGAGTAAATATTAGATGTAAATGTGAGAGAGGACTTTTGGTTGATTCTTAGTGTTTTATTAAAGACTGTGTTAAATGTTAAATAAAACTGTTTTAGATGAAGCGTCATGTTGAAGCTTCGTGCAGCAGCAGAAGAAAACAGTTTCTAAATGAATTCTCCTGCAGCTCAAACTGTTGACATCACGTTCTCTCAGCTATCAGACTGACCTCCTGCCCTCCAATCAGACGACTCCTTCACTTCACCTGAATCAGAATCAACCTGCAGACTCCAGACATGTTGCAGAGAAATGATCCATCATGTTTAGCTCCCTCTGATTTCTGTCAAACGTCCTCATCATGTGGAGAAACCACTTCCTGACGGTGTGTTCGAGGACGCTCAGACATCTGATCAACATTTGAAAGATGAGTCATGATGTCAGGAAGTCCAGCATCAGATTAAAAACATTTTAAAACAGCAGAATGTGAATTCAGTCTTTGGTTCCTTGTGTTAAATCATCGGAGGGAAGACAGATCTTTTCAGCTTGACTTTTACTTCATGCTGCCTCTTCTGCATTTTCCATTGTTTTTTCTCTGTATTAATTTGTTCTTTTAAATGTTATTAATGTTAAATATTTCATTGTTAATTGTTGTAATGTCTGTCTGTTCACTTGTTACTGTGTCTGTGCTGATTCCCTCTGCTCTGTGAGACATGTTGGGGCTGCGTGATTGTGTGAGAGATGCTGTAGTTTGATTTGATTTGATATTTTCTTTACTTTTTAAATTTCGTACGTCTTGTATCACTTGTTTGTAGTTTGCACTTTTTAAACTGTAAATCTTTTACCTCTGCTGTATTTCTTAAGCCGTTAAAGCGGAGTGATGAACTCACCTGGGGTAGGAAATGTGCTCAGAATTAAAAAGCCCTGCTTTGCCTTTATTACAGACTTTCATGGTCAGAATTAAAGGACGAGGACGATATTTTCAGATCTATCTGTGGTCATCACTCACTTAACTCATCTTATTATTATAATCATTAGAAAGAAGCTTTAAAATAAAAAAGAAGGAAAACACAGAGCCAGCTGAATACACACATTATAGTTTAACTGTTAACAACAAACAAATCTGACATTAATCTGACGAGCAGAGTCTCGGCCTCACAAATAAACAGTTTTAACAAACAGCTTGACCGAAGAAGAGGAGAAGCAGCAGCGTCTGTTTCTTCATCCTCTGTATAAATATTCATGAGTTATAGATGATATTATCCTCCATTTATTTTCATCCATTCACAGATAAAACATTAAAAAGAAACCAAAATCAGAAACTATCTGATACCAAACCCGTCCAGCACAACTCCTGATCACTTATCATTATTCTTATCAATCAGTAAATCAAACCAGCTGTTACTGGACCTCACAGCACATCAATAAATAAACAGTAAATATTCATCTTTAAAATACACAGGTCCCTTCAGACGAATGGAGAGACAGCATGAAAACAGCGACTGAGCAGCTGAAGCCTGCAGCAGCAGGAGGACAGCACAGACCGCCATCATGGACCAGTGGAACCAGTACAGACTGGGACAGACCAGTACAGACTGGGACAGACCGGGACAGACTGGGACAGACCCGGACAGACCAGTACAGACCGGGACAGAGGAGGAGACGTTCAAGGCCACAAACCATCAACCAAATCAACCCAACAACAAAAAAATCCCATGTCTGAGTGAAGATGAAGCAGCTCGATGTTTCACAGTTCAGCAGATTCATTCATTCATTCATTCATTCATTCATTCATCACACAAACACCTTCATTATTTTTGTTTTCCTCTGTTTTCAGTTTTATATTTGACCTCTGGATCCCTTTCAGTTGCTGCTTTTTTTCTGACGCCATCTATGATTCATCAGCTCCTCCACCCTCCACCCTCTGCCCGCATGAAGGAGGAGAGAGAAAAGAGGACGCATCCCCTCAAAAACCCGCATGAATGATGGATGAAATGAAAATGTGAATTTAAATCCTAACCATCAGAACGAAACCTTCGCATCTGATTTCCAGCTGCAGTTTTTAGAATCAGCGCGGATCAACGAGCCTCTTATTGTCTTTAATCCGCAGCTTTTAGCTGCAGAGCCCAAACGAACCGGGCCGAGCCGGGCCGAGGGAGGCCAGGCGGCTTGGTCCGCACCGTTTACCCGGGTTAAATCTACACACAGCAGCAGATTAATGTGAGTTAAATGCAGAAATATAAGGAGCGGTCCGTCCTTACCTCATGACTCCGAGCTGAGCTGAAGATCACTGACAGAGAGAGAGAGAGACGGAGGGAGAGAGAGAGAGAGAGAGAGAGAGAGAGAGAGAGAGAGAGAGAGNGGAGGGGGAGAGGGGGGGGGGGGGGGGGGGGGGGGGGGGGGGGGGGGGGGGGGGGGGGGGGCAGTAGCAGAGAGATGCTGTTGGAGAAGTGCAGCTGCTGCAGGTCTCTCTGTCAGTCCCCCTTTATATCCTTTATATTTATTCCTATCAGCTATGATGACCTGTGATGTGTGCAGGTGTGCAGGTGTACAGGTGTGCAGGTGTACAGGTGTACAGGTGTGCAGGTGTGCAGGTGTGCAGGTGTGCAGGTGTGCAGGTGTACAGGTGTGCAGGTGTGCAGGTGTGCAGGTGTACAGGTGTGCAGGCTCAGTCACCAGGACAAAACTAAGGATACGTTACATTTGTACGTTTCATACATCCCAACATTGACCTCAGGAGGTGGAGCTGATGGTGAGACGCAACCTGGTGACACATTGTTTGTGTCCAGCTGTTTGTGTTGCTGAACCTGAGTGTTTTTCAGCAACAGCAGTGTTTGTGCACCAAACTTAGCAACACATTGCTGTGTTTCCAGCAGCACTTAATGGGCTGATGGTTTTGGCTCCAAGTGATTGTTGTCGCCTCATTGTGTCCTCAACAAATTATACAATGTGCATCAGTGAAGGTTTTCAACTTGAATAATTCGTTCATCAGGATCTGATGTGGGATTTAAGTGTTCCATTAGTTTTTTGAGCAGTGCATATGATGAAAGAAAAACATATTGTTGCAAATGAATCCTGACAAAAATAAGCACTGATATGAGATACAAACTACAGGTCAGATTATTCAGCTGAGCTGTTGTGTATCTGCCGGTGAGACTGTTTGGGGTGTTTCCTCTGTGCAGTACTCCAGCTGTCCACCAGAGGGCGCCACAGGTCTGTTTTTGTGGATCAACTTTCTGATTTTTATTTCACATTCACAGAAACATCCAACAGCAGAGAGACATTCACAACACCAGTTTGTGTCTCCTGATGCACCATGTGACAATAATCAATCAGTGATCGATCGATCACGTCCTGCTGTCTGTCCTCAACTTCTCATTACATAACATCAACAAGAGGCCAGAGTCAAAGCTCAGGTCACAGCTCAACAGACAGCAGTACGTTTAATATTAATGTCAATGATTACAGACTGTACTGTAGGCACTGTGTCAAGGTGCCTGCACTTTAGTTACGTTTTCCTATTTTCTGCTACTGAATACTTCTCCTCCACCTCAGACATACATATTGTACTTTTTAAGTTTAAGTTTATTTCCTTTATTAATCCCCCTGAGGGGAAATTCAATGTTTTCACTCAATCACTGTGTGTAATTCGTCAATTACACACAGGTCTGAAAGACACACACAATGCACTACATTTATCTGACAGCAACGCTACAAACATGTGATGATCTAACAGAATATGATGCATCGCTGTACATTCAAATATCCAGCAGGATATAGAGGAGTTAAACCTGGAGCATCTACAGCAGAGACATTAATGCAGCAGGAAGATTCATCAAGAACATCATTTCAGGGGAGGAGCACCAAATTGTGAGGCCCTGTGCATAACGCATGAGCAGTCTCTTTGGGCCCCGCCCTTCCTCTCATGATCCAGAGCCCCTTTCACACCCCCTCTTCAAGGTGGGAATTTCACGCTGTTTTAACAGCTACAATAGGTACAACCGCAGAATGTGGGGACAGAGTCGTGTCGCCTCTGAGCTGAGACCAGAGGTGTTAACAGCGTCAAAACAATGTCTGTATGAAAGGGACAGCGGGCAGGGCGGGGTCATGGACAGAGCTGGTGTGACCTTTTGACAATGTGTTACATGTGCGACAGTTGCGGGTGAAAAGAGGATGTACCCCTTTTGTTGCTGTTTCCAGTGTATCTTTTTCTATGTGTCTCACCAACCTGGTCTCACTCTGCAGACGTCTAAAGGTCCTGACACACCAAGCTGACGGTCAGCCGTCGACCAAAGTCGGGCCGTCGGTGAGCGTCTGTCGCCCTAGTTTTTGCGGTGTGTCCCGCACCGTCGGCACTTTGGTGTCGGCGTTGGCGGCTTTTCGGCCGATTGAGCATGTTGAATCAGTGGCGAAGCTTGTCAGTGGGAGAGATCACTCTGATTGGCTGTTCAGGTTTTATTTCCTCGCCCCTGTAGCGAGTGAATCTGCCTGTAGTGAAACCGGGGCTAACCGGTGCTTCCTCCTCAGGCTCCACTTCACTCAGCTGCCCCACAGACCCGCTGCTTCTTCACACTTTAACCTGAATAACAAATCAGAGATGTGAGGCTAGCGTAGCGTTAGCCGCAGCATGACCGGAGGGAAGCACAGCCAGTTAGCCTCCGCTAGTCTCTGAGCTAGCCCCGGCTCTCCGTTTGGATCCAACCGGAGCACCGAGCCCTGGTTTGTTATTCAGGTTAAAGTGGGAAGAAGCAGCGGGTTTATCGGGCAGCTGAGTGAAGTGGAGCCTGCGGAGGAAACACCGGGACCGTCTGGATGTAATAGTCCGTGGAGGTGCTGCGGTGCTCGGCTGCACAGATAGGAAACCCCTCGGCTGACAGGATGTACCACTCTCTCACTCCGCTCTCTCTCACGCAGGCGCAGAACGTACGTGCTACTTGGCCGTCGGATGTAGTCCGTGTAGTGTGTTCAAATGCAACTGACACAGGGCGACGTGAGGCGACGTAGACGACGCAACAGTTGGCTTTCGTCACCGCTAGTTCTTTGATGTCAGTTTGGTGCGTCAGCACCTTAAATAACTTGGTCAATGACTTCTGGCGTCAAACACTGAAGCTGTCAGTGTCAGTTTTCACATCGGCATGATACGCAGCTGGTCAGCATTTTTGTTTAACGGCACCAGGTGGCGTCAGAGGAAACACAGCTGGACTACAACAAAAGCTGGAGTGGGTGGAAGTTCAACTGGGGCAGGTGGGAGAGGTGGTGGATGGGTCCAACAACCAACGCCTTTCATCCTGGATGTCGGTGTTCATTTCCTGTTAGACTGCAAAGCCAAACCTTGTTCTTTTTTCCTAAACCCAACTATGTGTATACAGGTACAGAAGGGAAGGATACATCCTCACTGTGACCTCGTCACATGTCCACGTTTGGTCATGGACTTTCCACGTCCACATATGACGTCCAAGGTACCCTGGGTGTGTTGGTTGTTGACGTTCTGGGACGCCGTGTCAACTTCAACCTGTTACATGCATTGTCTGTTTTCAAAATACACTTCTGCTTTCACAGGAAATGTACAGTTTGCATACAGTCTCTTTCAAAATAAAAGCACTACGTTATGGGGTGCCGTTTGTAAAGTGGCTCACGCTGAAAATAACATCAACATTTTGCCACATTTAGCTTCAAACAATGTTTAAAAAAGTATTGTGAATTTTTTAACATCACCTTTTACCACATTTACAGCAATATTTGTTAACTTAGAAATATATTAAATAGTTAAATCTAAATATTAAATCTAAATCTAAATGCTAAATCTAAATCTAAATCTGAATGTTAAATCTAATTATTAATAGTCCGATAAGTTGGTTTTAATTCGTTATTTGATTCTATAAACACAGTCTGACCATCTCAAGCTTTTATTTTGGTACTTCCGGTGACCGGCAGTGTGAATTTGCATATTAGCTAAATATTTAGTTTCACCCAGAACATTAAGATTTAACATTTAACATTTAGATTTAGATTAAGATTTA